TAAGGAGTAAAAAATATCTCATTAATTATACCCTTAATTAGTTATGGTATAGAAATGGTAATTTGGTATACTAAGTGTAATTAAGTCAAACCTTAAACATTGAAGGTAAAAAGATTTCTTATGTGGTATAGGAATTTAAAAAATTCCTTTATAGTTTAAGTGGTTGGTTGGCCGTACGTTCTTCAGTAATAATTCTTCATTATTTATTTTTTAACCAAAAAGTAATTTTGGGCTACGAGATGCCAATAACAAGATGTTGGGCTGATATGCAGATATGATGTAAAATATAATGTAAACAATCAGAAGTTGACTAACAAAGCAGTTGGCTGAACTGAAAAAAAAAAAAAAAACACTCATGTGTAGATAGCCATTAATATATACAATTCATAGGAGAAAATAGTAGGACGCTTGTTGCTAACAATAAATTAGATTAGAGGATATGTATACGTACTCTTAAAATAAATTAAAACATTATTTGCCTAATCCTCCGCGGTATATAAGAAAACATACCCACCACCCTCTTATCTCCTTTTGAAATTCAAATTACATACACTAATGACGTAAAAGCTTTACAGTATTAATAAATTTAAGTTAGTTACTGTTTTTATTAGATCATCAATTAATATTTACTTATCGTTATGAATTAAATATAATTATCTTACAAATGATATAATTGAATAAATATCTTTTACAATGTTTGTGCATAAAAGCGTAATTAAACCCTTCTCTTGTGGCTTGCCCCACCCACTCATTTCGTAGCCAGACCAGTTGGTGAAATAAAAGTAGATGGTGCCTATACATTCCAACTAAGAATTTAATTATTTAATTGCATGCATGTAAAAAGTTATTAATCCATTAAAAAACATTATCAGGTCATCGAATTTCCAACCTTACTAAACAAATAATTTGGAATCTGCGGCAGAAGCATCTTCATGTATTAATCACGTGAGGTTTATTTAGAAGAACATGTGTGGTGTGTCATAAATCAAAATTAGATCTACGATAGAGTAGGCATAGTTTGGGCAAACCCAAAACCAAATTAAAATTTAATTTTTTTTAGATTTTTGGTTTAGATTTTCGGATTAGGACTGAATTTTAGATTTCATTTTAAAATTTTTGGATTTCGGATTGGATATTGGATTTGGTACTTTCGATTTTTGGATATCCGAAAATCCGAAAAATTTATACTTTATATTTAGTCCATTATCCATATATCAATAATAATAAATTCAACACCCTATTCATTAGATATTATCTCATATATTCAATATTATTTACTATGTTACTGTCAGAATACTTTCTATTTGGAATGATTTTACTATTGTTAATTACTTCTTATCCGCCATATTAATGTCTCTGTTGTCCTTAACAATAATTTCACTACTTGAATACTTTATTTGGATTATTGCGATGAGAATGTGAAACTTTTCAGGCAATTTAACATGAGTACTTCATTTCGATATTCATCTTCGTAAAAAGAAGAAACATCTCAACTTATATAGCTCAAAATCGAAAATCCAAAATATCCAAACCGATTAATTCGAAACCGAACTTAAAAATCCGATCCAATCCAAGCTTATTTGGATTGTCATTTATTCAATCTGAAAATCGAAATTTTTATATCCAATCCGAACTGCCCGAACGCCCACCCCTATTCACTGATTCCGTCACTTCTTAGTGGTAATGTGTGTCAATTAGTACAACATGTATGGATTTCAGTTTTTTTTACTAATAATAAAAAGGACAGCTCGGTGCAAGAAGCATCTCACATTCACGCAAGATCCGAGAAAGGGACGCACCCTAAGAGATCACAAGTGTAATATATAAAAAAAAATTACACTAAAAATACATTCTGAGATGTGATAGGAGATTAGTTATTATCCTTACATGATTACCAATTAATGCTAATAAAGCAATTTATCTATAATTATCAAATGAGTGATCTGATGAGTTTATTTAAAATATTTTTATATCATTAATTCATAGAACTCAGGTATCTAGAACTTAAATTCTAAATATTTATAATCATATATGTTTAATACAGTAATGAACTAGCAGTATTGCAAATCCGCCTATGCCCTATGTCTAACAACTTAACAATCCTAATTTACAGCTCAAAAAGAAATTTCTCTGCTACTTATCTAGTTAATGAATCTTGATACTTTTGTTCGGATCAAATTACGAGCATCTTGACTAGTTCATCGAATACTTATCGTTACATATATTAAGTAACTCGATCGATAAAGGTCTAAAGATATGAGAAGTAATCATCCATGCATAGCCGTAATTCTTATCTTAATTGATTGACCATTAAGCTACACTCTTGATTAATCCTCAAATGATGGCTCTTGAAAATGTAGCACAAATGATATAAGCCTAGGATCTTTCAAGAATAATCTCTTTGCCTTTATAAAGTAGGAGTAAAATTTTACCTTGCATATTTTTTATCTTCCTCGAACCCTAAAATATGAGAATGCGTTGGATATATTATTGTTGTTGTTGATACAAAGCAAATTGTGGAGCTGCTGAATTTTCCAAGATCTGTCCCATGCAAATTAAAGTCCTTAGAATTGAGGGGGAAGAGAAGGCTGTGACAGCAATCGAACAAATAATTGCATAGAGAAAAAGCTGCAGCCATCAAATGGTGTGCCTGCTTTCCAACTAATGTATGCATGGTATATATAGAAACAGGTTTGCTTTTTGCATGAAAATTAGCTCAAAAAGACATATTCCCTTAAAGGAGATTGGTTACATTTATTGTTTCATTAATGGAGAGGGAATTAGATTCTTACTCCACCATCTACTTAAATAGATTAATTTTTCTCGCCATTTTCTCTGCATCACATGTGCAGATGATCTATAGTTAGCTAGCAGCCAATTGAAATTTGATCCACAATGTGTTGCATGCAAAAGCAACGTCAAATCTAAATCATAAAGTCACTTTTACAAATAACTTAATTACAAGTAATTGCTCATAATAAGTAAAAATAATTACCTATTGTTGGAAATATTATTGGGTCGGGTTCACTCCTACGGATGCTAAATGAGTGATGAGCCTATTAATTCCTCCTAAACCCTATTTATAATCTATAAATACATCATTATGAGTATATAAAAAATTTAACTAATATTTCTTATGGGAAACAAACGACGGCTAGGGTTCGACTCACTGCATCTTAGAGATGATTAGGCTATGAAAACCGGGAGTCCATGTGCCAAGTGAGTATTTTCAACATCCAGTAATTCGAGTCCGGTTGTTGCAGATGATCCGCTTCCGCCATGAGAAATATGTTAGTCTTCTTACTAGTAATCATAGGATAAATACTAAACACGTAAAATAAGAATAGACAACTTATTACGTATAACAGGTTAAGTTACACTAATACTGTAAGAATACAATGTATATGGATTATATCCAACTAGCTGAAAAATAGGGTTTGCCTCAACATTCATTTGGGTTAAATGAAAAGTTCTTTCTAATTTTTAATTTTAGGATATTCAAAATTGGCTCCCATGTTAATTGGGATTTTTGTGTACATCCATTACTTTAATCATCCTTAATTGAATGAAGATGTTATATTGTTTCCTTCTATTCAATTTTAGGTATGTGAAGAAATTAAGGTCAAAAGTCATTGCCTCAAAGTTGTAGTTGGACCACATTATCTTTGGCCTTACATAACTGAGACAACTTCTAGCTAGAAGATTGCATTATTTCTTCTTTCCAGCTTTATCAAAGAGAGAATTTACCAGTATATGTCTATTCTCTTTCTATATCTAACTTTTAGTTTTTGATAATGTAAAGTTCAGTCTAGTTTTGTTACTTCTAATGCGACTTAATTAATTAAAAAGTAAAACAAAAAATGGTAACATGATTACGTATATACAACTAATCATTTTGATAATTACCTTTTATTCCCGCTACAGTGGATAGAGAACATGTCACGTCCCAAAACTACGTGACTAACACCTGGCACTTTGGCCATATCGAGCGAACTAGCAATATGATAAATTAAATTTGACATATGGACTTTAAATTTAAACATTTTTTTATTGGACTTGTACAGTAGCTACTTGATTGTCCTGTCGATCGACAGGTTTGTATGGTGATACAATATTCTGTTTCAGCTCTTTCACATTTTTGGAGTAACATTTAACTTAAGATCAGAGCCGCATGTAGTAGCCAACTTTTCTAAGGTTTGGACTATGGTGTACTATATTGTTGGATTAAAACGCTTGTGATCTAAGTACCATTTGTTTTTTTTTTAATCCCATATTAGACCTAAAGATGAGGACTACAAAGACAAATCCAGGATTTAAAACTTATGGGTTTCTACATCGACTTCAAGTAAATTTACAATAATTACTAGGTTTACGGTCAAATCATTATAGATATTTATTGAATTTTTAATATATAAATAGAGCCTAAGCAAAAGCTATTGGGTTTGTGTAAACCCGTATGTCGAACTCTAGATCCTCCCCTGATAAAGAGTTATATGCTATTATAAGTAACTTAATTTGATAGTGTAATAATATATATATATATATATATATATATATATATATATATATATATATATATATATATATATATTGTCAATGCACAAAATTTAAGTTCGCACTCATTATATTCTGGCTCTACAGAAAAATATACGTGAATTTTGATTCACACACACATTTGAGAGTGACTTTGTTTATGTAAAAAAAAATTAAGTTATATCTACTGTCGATATAAAATTATAAAATTATTTATATTGACAATTATATATAACTTAAACTCATTAAAGAACCATAGGAGACAGGACGAAAAGAAGAAAGATACTTTCGATGGTGACATCCCACCAGCGCTTGCCTTTTCCTTTTTCAGATCAACATTTATTATCATATAATATGAATGTACATAATATACTGTTCTAAATTAGGGTTTCTAGATTGAATATAAGCATTTTATATACTCTTGATCTAATATGCATGGGGTGCTAATCGTCTTTCTTATATGATTTAAACAAGATATCAAAAAAGGGATGAAGCTTACAAAATAGAAAACACTATATCCTTATTCAAAACCCTAATATTTGTATACTAGCTAGTTGAAGTACAAAAGAAAAGATAAATAAAGCCCCTTCCTTTATATTTCTTCTTTCTTCTTACTTAGCTTTCTTTCTTTTTCTGCAAAACCCTATTTGGGCATAGTGTGATATTCTCCACCATAAACCTCACCAACCTTTTACAAAAGAGAAGAAATATTTGGAGCACTAACACAATGGCTTTCTCATCTATTCCCATCTATCTAGATCCTCCCAATTGGCAACATGAGGTAATTAGAATTTGTTCATCTTTTTTCCCTTAGTATAGCTTCTTCACTAAGAAAGCTAGTAATTGGGAAAAAAAAGATAAATATTCCCACTTTCTTTTACTATTTGAATATATACTTTATAGTACTACACATAGTAGTATTTGATTTCTTCTCTTCTTGGTAAATTTTGTAGCAAGGAAATCACCAACAACAACTTGGAGTTGCAAATGAAAACCCCTCTCAGCTATCACCAGCTATGCCGCCACCTCCAGCAGTTGGAGGAGGAGGTGGCGGATCAGCTGGCTCAGTTAGGCCTGGCTTGATGGTAGAACGAGCCAGACTAGCAAAAGCAACACAACCAGAGACGATCCTAAAATGTCCACGTTGTGAGTCTACGAATACAAAATTTTGTTACTTCAATAATTACAGTCTTTCTCAGCCACGTCATTTCTGCAAGACTTGCCGGAGATATTGGACTAGAGGTGGTGCGCTGAGGAACGTCCCCGTCGGAGGTGGATGCCGGAGGAACAACAAGAGAGGAACAAAAAGAAGTAGATCAAAATCCCCAACTAGAAGTGAAAAAAGACATTGTCCAATAATTACCTCAGCAAATGCCACAACCTCTAATAATAGTATCCCTCATTTGCCTCATCCAACACATTTGTCATTCTTGACTACCCCTAATTTGCATAATTTTAGTGACTTCACATCTACTGAAAATGGCCTCAATTTTGGAGGATCTCAACCTCAAGATGGTACAACAGATCAAATGGAAGTCCAAGCCAGATTTATTGACCAATTTAGATTTCAACAAATGCAGCAATTTCCATTTTTCTCCAACTTGGAACAACAACCTAGTAATAATTTATACCAATTTGAAGCAGCTCCTGAATACAATGTTGGAGAAGTGGCAAATGTGAAGGTGGAAGAAAATGAAGGTACTAATAGTCAAGGGCTAAATTTACCAAGAAACAATTTTGGGGTCACAAATAATCAGTTTTGGACAAACTTCCACTAGCCAACTATTGTGATTTTCTTGTAACATCTTCAGAGATAACTCTATCAAGATTGAGCTATTTTCTTTTTACTTTCCATAATGGTTGTCCGACTCAACTTGTGCGCACGACTACTTTACTGAGTATCGATCTGCTATTTTCCACCAGCACAGTACCAAGCAAGCTTGAGCTTTTCGATCGTTTAACTACAACAGGTTCTACCCCTATTTAATTATAGCGAAGAGATTGAATTATGAAGCAGCTTTCTTGAATTGCAAGCTAGTAATATGGAGTCCGATCGTCTCAAGAGGATTCTCATTCTCATCTGGTAGAAAACTAAGTAATGGTAGGCTTTAATTTCATTATTTCCCATTTTTTGGTTCTTTAATTATGTACTGTGCGGATGTTTTTAGGTCAAGTGTAAGTTTTTTTTTTAATTATCCATTCATGGGATTTAAATATTATCTAACATGACGGGGCTGCTTGGTTATTATAAGAGATGAAATCTAATATGCATCCTACTTAGTGACTGGTTATATATTGAGTTTATTTTAATGGAATTATGTCGATCGGGTCAATATTTCCTCCTCCTCCTCTTCTTTTTCTATTTTTATTTTTTTATTTATTTTTGGTTATGATAAGATGATTTACTGGGTGAATTCGAAGCTCATGTTCATGCATACTCTGTAGCGCGAAATCAGAAATTTATGCGAGGGGATTGCGAAAAAATACTACTACTATGTCACCTTGAGATTTGGTAATTTTTGAACCTCCTTTATTTGTCATTGCACAAGAATCTTCACTAACGTAAGGAGATTCAATCAATTTATATATAACTAAAAATAATAATTGTTGTCCTATTTACCCATATAATTTTAGGACGATGGTGATTTAATATTGAACCTCTTGACTCTATATAGCTCCACCATATCTATAGCCAGAAGTAATATAGGAGCTAGAGTTAAGTGAGTTTCAATGAGTAAATAAATCTTTTTATCTGTATATATAGAAAATTCGATTCGAAAGTAATAAATTCAGTTGAACTAACATCACTCGCCTAAGTTGTATTTCATGTGGAATTGTCAGTGGTGATGCTTAGCCAGGCAGAGCAACAGACACTGAACTGACCGTCCAAATTGAGTTCATTAAATGCTTGTAATTCTCTCCATACTTTGCAACTTTTTTTCTACCCTTGTTTACAGAGAAGCCCTATTTTTCTTCTTTTGCCTTTCTTAGGCCAACAGGCCCCTTCAAATTGTTCAGTGGTTAATTTCCTTTTTGTTTCTCACTCAACGTGGTATTCGTATTGGGGTTCAATTGAATCCGAATTCACATCGAAAAGTCCCATATAATTGGAGGGGTGAGGTAAAGCGCTCTATAATAAAAACGAATTTATAACCATGGCTCTAATACAAGACCTCTGTTGGTTAAGGATAAAAGAGTATTTACCGCTCCACCAAAATCCTTATTGGTTGGTGGTTAATTTCCACTTCAATCATAACAAGTCTGTCAGTAGCGATAAATCCTCAATGCTTAGAATGGTTCAAAAATATTCCAATCCAGTCTAAAAACTTAAAGCAACGAATCTGTAATGTGTCATCACTGACAATTCTAGTACACAACTCTTGAAAGACTCCCACTATAGTCACTAATTTTGGAAGTTACACATTCCCATATGATTAAATGTCTCGTATTTTTGGGAGATTAATAATGTGAGGTTAGTTATTTTTTCACCCTTATTCCAAGAAAACTGTTACTTGCCCATCCTTTAGACGTCAAGAAAGTGAATTGCCATTCTCTTGTTATAACTATAGTTGTACTCTTGTTTGTGATCTTGTATAGAGAGAAGAGAGAGATGAACAAAAGAGAAAACCATAAACGCCAAATTCTCACTCAAAACAATGCTGTGGAAAAAGCTGTATCCTCGTTATTGAATAGTCGTAGTAGCATTCTTGATTTCCATCCACTACTACTAAGCTACTCTACCATTTCAACTTATGTCATGTATTTCGACTCAATATGAAGTTTAAAGAGGAAATAAAAGTACTTTTTGAAATTTGTGATTTCAAATTTATCTTATATTTGTGTGATTAAAAAAATTTCCCATAATTATTTTTTTCCAAATATATGATCATTTCTCAAGGACAGACTACTAAGAAAATAGTATCACAATATAATAGAGGTGTAATATTTTTTTGGTAGAATAGTGAAAAAGTACCGGTCCTTTGTCTACTTAAATCTCACTTTAGTTAGAGTAGGAGCTATTATTTTTCTTGTATGTTTTTGAACAATTTTAACTTCATTATACTCAATAAAATGTTTATTCTTTACATGATATTAGAACTACATGAATAACTCATCTTGTCTATTCTTTGTTTATCCAATATAATTTAGACCTCCGATCCATATCAAATTGTTCATGCTTCAAATGTTCAGTATCGATCTGCAAGGGTCCCCACACGTATAAGATGTCATCTCTTTATATAAATATATAATGATGGCTTACATATAAGTTTTTTTTTCGAAAGGAATCTGGCTGGGATTTGCCTTTTGCAATAACCAAGACTAAGTTTATACTAAGAATAAAGCTACACAAAAACAGGATACCAACAGTCAAAAAGCATCTCCTCTCTGCATTATATCACGTACTTTCCTCAGCCCCACTCCTCCACAAAGTCACAATGCAAAAAGATGAAAAAAAATAATAAGTAAAAATAAAAATCCAAGAGTGATTATGATGGTTTTTGGTCGGTGGACTGATTGTACTAGTAAATATTCCCAAAAACGAAGACGAACTGGGGGTATCTGAGAAAGATTGAAGTGGGAAAAGAAGAGAAATGGCAAGGGAAAAGGCCCCCTTAGAGGCACAAAATTAAGTGCTCTAACCCACAAGGGTTGTGGTGGAATGGTAATGACTTATCATCATTAACTAGAGGTCTCGGGTTCGAATCCTCAGTATGAAATCGCCTTTTTTAAGAAGCATTTTACCCCAATGTGGCAAACCAAAAAAAATAATTTAATATTATACGAGTACCGTATATTAGGTGGGAAACCAAAAAAAAAAAGAAGTTAAGTGCTCTGTCATTTGTGATTGTGAATATTATTACTACTTCCTATCTCACATATTAGTTCTGTGGAAATTTAAGAGGTGTGATGTGAAGGTTGGAGGCTTGGAGCTATCGAGTTCGACTTTTGGAAATGCAACTTTTTTTTGGTATGGACTAATTAAGGAGCGTTTTACCTCCTATGCATGTTCGAATTAGTCGGACCAATGGTCAACGGATCAGAAGGTGAAACCGAAAAAAATTATGCCTAATTGTTTGATGTTTTAAAAAAATTAGAAGTAACTTATTTTTTTCCCCTTCTGATCTACCCAAAATTAGTGGATTGTATTTAAGTGAGGCGTTTAAGGAGAGTTAATAAAATGTCTTATAGTATAACTTAAGGAATATGTAAAAATCTTTAAAGAACAAATATTACAGATTGCAGCTATGCAATAAGTTTCTTACTTGCTTCCTTCGGTCATTTTGACATGTCATCTAAGTTATTGTCAAACCTATTATGAACACACTTAATAGTCTTAATCGTAAGGATTATTTGACCAAATTACCTTTATTTCCTTCCGAAATGAGTAATTTATGATTATATTTCTTCTTGGAGTACCAATAAAGGCCAAATTGAAAATAAATAATACTTAATTAATGCTTTTCTTAGACGTTTACTAAGCCGACAGATATTTGGACCAAAATTTTATTAAATTAAGTGACAAACAAAAAGAACCAACGCAAGTATATACTATCCATGGAAAAACTTGCGTATAAACAAGCATAAATAGCAGGAGAATGCATGTATATACGTTAGTGCATGTTGTTGTGCCCACACATGCATCAACGTGAACACGTTATCTGTTTCTATGGTTGCTTTCACTTTTGAATAGCTGACGTCCTTATTCCTTCTATCCAATCTCTTTCTGCTTTTTTCTGCCTTGTCTTCCAATACCAGCAGTACGTACTCTTATTCTATCTCTTCATTTCTCTATGAAGACCTCACATTCCACCATATACGCATTACGAGCTGGATTGGAGCCAGTAACGAAACCAGATTTTTTTTTAAAGAATGTTCAAACTTTAAAAAAATAAAATAAAAAATTCTCCAACAAAGTGATGTTATATACCTATAAAACATAATATTTTATCTTTATACATAATATAATTTTTCGACGAATGGTGATCAATTGACCACCTTTGCCAGAGTGTACTTTGCCCTTGGTTGGAGGCCGGATATTGTTAGTATTCTGTATTCAAAAATATATTCAAAAAAAATAGAAACAATGTAAAACCAGAAATGCAGAAGAACAAAACTAATTCGAGCCCGCTGAATTCACAGTGTTTCCTTAAGGAACTTAATCCCCTCCTAGTACCCGAGGTTTAGGATGATTTCCTCCCAGGATAGAACAGATTACCCTCACTGGTGCAGCGGTACTTCAAACCCCAGTGACAACGAATGCAAAGAATAGTAGTAAATCACACTTAATGCTTTCTTTTCTGTTAAAACAATGCAGAAAGAAGAAGGAGAAATCAGAATTTTCGTAAAGAAAATCTGAGTGAGAGTTTATGTATTTATAGCCAAAAACATTGGGTAATACTGAAGAGTTATAACTCTTCATGTAAGGTTACAATTCAAAATGGTTGTTTTATAAAACGGCCATTTCTGCAAACCGCCACATTCAAATTATAACAAAAAAATTAAAATGGAGGAAAATTGAATTATCGTTACAGTAACGATCTAATTTAAATTAATTAATATTGCGTTAATATTAACAAATAAATTTGGTCCAAACAATTATTCAATCAATTATTTGAACAATCCGAAGCCGAAGCCGAAGCCGAGCGAGTGACGACGGTGCGAGACTTGCCTTCTTCTCAACTCTTTAAGAGCTAGAAGAAGTGCAATTGTATATATACCCACTAAAAATCTTTTCCTCCTCCAATATGGGATAATGTCCCATTGTCAAGGAGGAAAAATCAACATTTCACTTTTCCCTCCATTTTCCATTCACCCTCTTTTAAGCTCTAAGAAGCTTAAACCCAACAATCCCCCACAAGAACGTGGAATGGCTATATCACGAAAATATGCATGAAAAATTGTGTAATTTACAAGCAAGGATTAATCACATCTGTATAAGTAGGTTTCCCTTTGTACTTTCCGTAGTGAACTTATGTCGATATACTCGATTAATCGGTAGATTTGATATCTTTGAACTGTCGAACTTTGGTATATATTTAGACAATCATAAGTCACACAATCAACCCTTAACCATCTTGGTTCTCATTGTTGTGTTCGTTTCAGCCATGAACACCGCCTAGTTTCATAAGTGCGTAGAGAATTGGCCTTGCAAAATTCTCCTTGAAGCGGCTAACACTTCTCACTTACATAGGTGATTCCTAAATGTGTAATCTCGTAGATACACTTTTTGATATACCCTGTAATCAAATTTAGAAACAATTAAAAAGCCTTAATGCTTTATCCTTGATACTGAACATTGTTTAATCACGAGAATGGACCAAAAAATTTAGTTGACAA